ACTGCAGTGTCTGCCCTGGCTGCTTTTGGCCACTACGTAGTTCTGTGTGGAGAGGGATCCACGAGGACATTTTACTACAGTGTCATGTCAGTATGAAGCATTGCTCATTACTCGGATAATTTCTGTTTACAAGGATATTTTCCATTTCCTTGTTGTCTTGCACTAAGAACTCTGCAATTAGTTTAACTCTTGCTTAAGTAAAATTGTTATAGAAGACTTGGGATAAATTAGAAGTTATTCACGCTGCTTGACATAGCAAGTAGTTCGTAATATTTAGAAATAGAAAACCAGACTGATTTTAGACACGCTAAGCTCTGAAATGAAAATAAAATAGTGTTTATCTTACAGCATTCTGATCAGGATATATCAAAATAACGCCTAAAGGTGTTAGTTGTTGTTATCTTTATGATTCTTTATTTATTCTTAAAACATAATTATTTCATATCTCTTAGGTGCCAGTTGCTGCTGCAGTAGGTGCTAGGGATACAATGTAAACAAATTGGTGAAGGGAAATAGGTGACACACAGATAAACTAGAAAAATAATTTCCAATAAAATGGTTAAAAGAAGGTAGGAAAGGGTAATATGGTCAGGGACGTTCTCTCTGAAGAGGTGATTTCAAGCTGAGAACCGTTTTTCTAGAGACCTAATTCCATCAATATCCAAGTTACAAGTATGATATTCTTAGTGAAAATGCAGTTATTTTCTGGGGACCTATGGCAGAAATTAGTTTTATCTTAGATTCCCTATATTCTAGAGGCACTAATATGAAGGACCGTAGACTTTACAAGTGACTTTTCCCCACAGATGGATGGCTCTCTGTCTTATTCACCATTGAGTTAATGCAGCAAACATCATACAGAATTTACCAAGGAAATTGTTAGAGTCTCTGCATTTTTATTGCATGTTCTTTTTGGCTCTTTCATTTTGTACCATGCTAAAATTCTTAATGTAATCATTCTCTCAATAGTTGAGGTCATACCTCTCCTTACAGATATAACAAGGAGAGAATTATGATACCCAGCAGGGCTCTGGATAAATATTTAAAAGGCCACTTTAGACTTTAATTTAATCAAGCACATTAAAGTAATCCTGAAAAAAAAAATCTAAGTAGCATTCATTGAGTGTTTACCAGAATATTGTCCACATAGACATCTGGGCTGGCTAATGGAAAGTATTTGTTTGTCAGTTTGTTTAGGGTTTAATATCCCAGGATTTTGTGATGATGGTCTTGGTAGTGTATTGTGAGGTACAGTTTGAAAAAAGTATCTTTATATCCTTTTTTTTCCTCATAGATCTTTTTATTTACTGACTAACCTAAGAATACTTCTTAATTAGAGGCTTGTTTATAATTTTTAAACATCAGTCCCCTGTATTTATTTAAAAATTGTTTTCTTTTTAAAGCTGTTTCCAAAAGATACCTTTGAATTGGGCCGTTCTTATTTCTTTCTGTTGATCCCTCAAGGTGTTTTGTGAGGTTGTTAGAGCATCAGTATGTAAGACACACTTTCTTATTTTCCTGTAAATTGAATAAAAATGTATTTGAAGTATAAATATTTATTCTAATGTCACCACACAATGAGACCCAGCTTCAGTCAGTATTTTTGTGCAATGTAAATACACTGCAATTCAAATTTCTGGTTTTTATGTAAGACTCTTTTCTTAACCAAGACCATTTTGAGGTAAGAACTGTAGAATACCCATCTGTTTACTCCGTAAGAATTTCTTGAACACCAACTACGTGTCAGACAAGATACCAGTGACACAATAATAAAAAACTAACTGGCTTGCAGCTTGTAATCTAATAAGAGAGATAAACATTAAATAAATAATCATTTAATTTGCAGTTGGGTAAATGTTATATAAAACAGGAACGTACTCTTCAAAGGTAGCCTGAGGAAGTGAAGTATAAGCCGTGACCTGAAAGAGAAATAGTAGTTATCTAGGCCTAGAAATAGGAAGCTCATCCCAATATGCAAATGCCCTATGTTGTGGAGGAACCTGGTAGGTTCAAGGAACAAGAAAAGACCAGTTTGGATGCAGACTATTTAAAATGGAGGGAAATCAAGTGAGATATATCTGAAGAGGTGTGTAAGAGTCAGATCAGGTCGTCTAGGCTGAGGATTTTGGCTTAGTTTAAACAACAATGAGAAGTTATTGCAAAGTGCAAAGAGGGAAGTGATATGGTTAGATTTGTGTTTGGAAAATATCATTCTGGTTGGAAGAGGGAGAATGAGTAGCGATAAAGATAAATTAGCAGGTTAGAGAAATATTTAAGAGATTGAGAATTGATTGGAAGTTGATGCAGAGTGAAAAGAAAGGGAGGAGAGGTAAAGGATTACTTTCTGGTTTCTGGAATGAAGTATGATGTGATTTATTAGGATGAGCAACACTAGAGGAAAAGAAGGTTGGGAGACAAGATGATGACTTCATGTTGAGTCTGAAAAGCCTTGAAGAGATCCAGGGGACATGTATTGGAGTTGACTGTATGGAGTTGGAAGTACTGGGTCTGGAACATAAATAATGTCTGGGCTATAGCCTGTGTGCATCTGCTACACCCAGCTGGTAGATGGAATATTGAAATGGACAGCCCAAGAACAAAATGTGGACTCTCTGACATTTTAATGTTAAGTAGAGGAGGAAGAGCTGACAGAGGAAAATTATCAGAGTGTGATGTCACCAAAGCTGGTGGACAATAACAATTCAAAAAGGAGATAGTGTTAAGTAGCACCAAGACATTGAGTGTGATGCATACTGAGCAGTACATGTTGGGCTTAATGCATAAGGTCTTTACTGATCTCAGAAGGTAGATTGATGTGGTTTGAGAAGTGAGATGCGAGGAAATACAGATAACTTCTTTGAGAAGTTTGGCTATGAAAGGGAAAAGAGTGAACAGCAGTAAAGGGAAATGTAGGTTCCAAGTGGAGTGTTAAGCTTTTGTTTTCTGTTTTGCCTTTTTTTGTTTTTATAATGGGGAAAACTGAAATATGTTTTACTGTTGGTAGAAAGGATTCAAAAGTCCAGGAGTAATCAGAATATTTGATTGTCTGAAGATGCTGGAGAATGAGGTGGCTAAGACCCAAACATCAATGGTGAGGGGTTCGCTTTGAGAGGGGAGAACTCGCCCTTGCATAGTGATGGAAGGAAGGAGGGAAATGGCAGTGCACGGGTGAGCAAGCTCCTGTTTTCTTAATGAAGTAGCAGGCAAAGCTCAGCTACTCAGAGCCAAGTGGTGGAAGTTGGTGGAACGTTTGGGAAAGTGTAGAGAAGCTCAGGTGATATTGAAGACAGTAAGTAGTTTGGGTAACAATCTGCACTGTTGTGTAATTTTTTCCTAGAAAAATTTAGCTACACAAAACACAGAGCAGGAGCATAGCATGTTTGTTCCATGGTTGGATTTGTTTTTGCCACAGCCACTTTTGATAAAAGGTCAGAGAGGAAAGAGAATTTATTTGAAATAGAGGGTCAAGTACTGGTTGATAGACCCTAAGACTGGTCGATAGGCTTTAAGTGAGGGAAGGGGAGACTGATGACTGATGGTGAGAGAAGAAGGGATATTAGGGGACTGAGAATTCCAGTGATGTTGAAAACATCTTCAGGAGTTGGGTGAGATACCTGAGCAAGAAATCCAGAAGGACAAGATTTTGTAGTCAGATGGCTAGTTGCTTAGTGATTTTAGAAGCAGTGTCATGTTGGCAATGACAAGACCAGAGGGTTTTCTTTGTGTGTGTGTCCAGATGGATTCAGGGAAGGAACCACGGAAGTGAGTTGGTTAACGATCTGTGAGGGCGGCACACTGGACAGTATGACTGCGTGGGTACTGAGGGTGCTTTGGGTGATTGCTGGAGCGGCAACAGAGTGGAACACAGGGAGTGGGGGCTGCGGTCTGTTCAGAGTGACCTGACAGAGGCAGACGGGTGCTAGCAATGAGAGGGCCAGTGAGGGAGCCACCGGCGTCAGCCTCAGAAGGACAGGAGTTTTAAAAGATATGAAAGAAATGTATATAAGAGGTGCTGAGAAGAAAAGAGGGCACTGACTTTCCTGCCAATTCTGAGACACATGGAGTGTGAGAAAATGAACATTTTTTCCTGAAGAAAGCTGCAGAATGCACTGTCTTCGACTAACAGCTAGATAAAGAAAGTTAAAGCTAGATAATGGAGAAAATATTGAAATGAGGATGAGGAAATAGGGAGCTTGCACAGGAAATGGGAGCATGAGAGCTGAGGAGAGAAGGAAAGTGTGGGGTTGTCAGGGAAATAAGGCCCAGATGGTATGACAGTATGGGATAGAACATTCTAGGAGCTCATATATATGTTGGGGAGAGGGAAAAGTGAGGGAGAGCAGACTGAGAAAAATCACATAACAGAGCAAGGGGGATTAAATCCTGAAATCCTTTAGACATGGATTGCCTCCTGTGCTTCACAGAATGCATTTCTGGCCTGAAGCGGTTATATGTAGTACAGTATTACAGTATAGAGTGGTGTGGTGTGTGTGCGATGTGGTGTGGGTCAGGCAGTTTTATCTTCAGCAAGCTGATTGAGGAAGCTCAGGTAGCGCCGTGTTTTCTGTCTTTGGCATGCCCCTCCACTAGCCCACTTCCTGTTCAGCATTCGGGGCAGCCTTGTGGTGGCTGAGTGGGAGTGTACAGAGAACAGCAAACCAGACTTCACCCCCTCACATTCTTAACTCATGGCTGTCTTGCTTTTGCCAATATTATTCTCTGAAAGAGATTAAGTGAATCTTCTCATACCTATTTTTTAAAAAATTTCTTCAGTGCCAATTTAATTTGCTTCTTACATTAGTTGCTGTAAGTGTTATCTATTATAGCAATGATATTTCCTGCTAAATCATATTGTAAAACATCACAAGTATACAGTAAGTATTTTTGGTAATAATTTGTTTTTAATTTGTAAAGTCTCAATGAATATCATTTACATATTTTAGTCTTTCCAGTTCTTTACTAAGGGTGTTTTCAAGGTTATGTTCTTTTACTTCCTAAAGGAGCAAATGAAGTGAAAACCATTCCAGGTCAAGCTGTTTGTCCTACTCCAGGGTGCCGAGGAATAGGCCATATCCGTGGTCCAAGGTATTCAGGACATCACAGGTAAAATTTTTTCTTCTTTAAATTATTTCAGAGACAAGTGAAAACATTATTCAGATTAGCAGCTGTAGGGAGCATCATAAATGACTCACCTGGAGCCAGGAATCTCCTTATCATACTGCCTTCTCTGTTCCTGAAGTTTTTCCCTGACATTTCCCACTGCCTGCCCGCCTCTGCCTTCCTGGAGCCTTTTTGGACTCAGGCCTTGCCCAGACCCACGTCACTTCCCAGCACCTCTGCTCTCCAACCGTTTCTTACGCGCACCCTCCTTAGGATACGCTTGCCACTCTAGGTCCCACCCCAGACCTGAATTTTCTCCACACAGCTGCTGAGTCTTGCTTTCTTTAGAGAAATTCCAGAACCTCTTGCCTTTTCCCCTCTTGTTTTCACCTTGTCCCTATTTCTTTTCCTCTCTTTCTTATTTATTTGGAGATGAGATAATTGTTGGATAGAATAGAAAATAGTAAATGTGAAGTTATGTTGCAAAATATACCTGTGCTTTAAATATTTGATAACAGTATGGGAAGGATAGTACTTGTAATGAAAAATAAGTACAAATAAATGTATATAAGCTCTTACTGTCCCAGTATATAAACTTTTTCTGTCCTGGTCAATTGGTAAAATAATGGTTAGATGAATTATTTATATTGATGGTCTAGCTGCAGAACATATCAATTAAAACTGAACAGAATTGACATCCAACTTGTGCAACAAACCAATTTTTTAGAAAAAAATCATAGGAAAGTATAAATAAAAAAGAATAAATCATATACTATGTGAAGCAAGAAAATACTTGTTTCAATAAAAGAGATACAAACAGAAATTCTAGTTTTTTCAGGTGGTTGCAGTTCTGGAAACCTATGCTTGAAACAATGCTAAACAAATCAAAACATATATTATTGTATGAAATAGTGGTAAGCACTTCCAAATAGCACACATGAATGTTACCTGTGTAAATATAGTATAAATATTAACACTTAAAGGAGAAGAATATAATACTGTATTCACAAAAAGAAACCGAAGACATACAGATACCTTGGTTACTTGTGCAAATGTGTAGGAGTTGTGGATGAGAGTAGGGCTGGACCTGGTGGAGGTATTGCAGTGTTTATGAGGGAAGGGGGAAAAGAGAGTAAAGGGCATGTGGAGGACGAGAAAGAGAGAAAGCGGGAGCAATTGCATCATTGGGAGGGCCATCTATATTAGGGATCACCTTATTGGACTTAATGGAACCACTTTCCAGACCCCTAGGGGTATGTGGCTACAAATAGTACTCCTCAGACTTGTATTGTGTGTGTATCTTTGTTTTATTTTGTTTTAAAATCCAGAACTGCAGAGTCCAGTATGGCAGTTACTAGTCACATGTGTCCATTTAAATTAAACAGTAACTAAAATTAAATAAAATTAAAACTTTAGTTCCTCACTTACCATATTTCAGCTGCTCAATAACCTCCTGTGGCTAGTGGTTGCCATACTGGACAGCAGAAAACTTCCTTAAAGGCAGACCTAAAAGGTAGCTTACCATGTTCTGCCTTCTTACAGTACATTTCTGAGTGCACATTTTTTCCAGATAAAATAACTGACCATTCTGCTGCCCCTTCAGAACAGGAATCCTTATACTCAGAGTTAGTCGGACCATAATCTTGCAGTTGTCATGTTCATTAGCACACTCTGGAGTCTACCGTCCCGTAGCATTGGGCTGAAGTAACAAGTACCCACGTAGCTCACGCGAGGCCTCTTCTCCCACTTCATCAGAGCTGGCTTGCCTTCCACACTGCTCTTATGTGTGTTGTTCATTCTCCTTTCCCTACTTGGATTCTGAAAATATTGTGAACAAAGTCACAATGGGCATGTTCCACTTTGTTCCAGCAGCTTCCCTGAGCTTTTCTCATCCTGTATGAAGTTTAACTGTTCGTACCTGTAGTATCTAATTATGAATAACATTGAGAATATCTGACACAATTTTTTTCAACCAAGTGACCTTTAATGGTTGACCTCAAAAGTTCTGAAGAAATTAGAATGTAAAAACAGGATAGTGTAAAGAAAGGCATTCTATGACGCTTAGAAAAAAATGAAATACTAAACCCATGTGATAGAAGAATGGGACATTTTAAGGGAACAAGAAGGCACAAGGCTTTCTATTTCCAGACCTTGCAATTCACAGGGCTGCCCAAGGTGAGAACTCTGTAATTGGATCATGGCTCTTCTCCTGGCCTAGCTTTTGTTATGATAGAGCAGGGCTCCTATAAGTAAGAGAAACATCTTCAAAAGCTTAACAATTCCATGATCTCAGAAAAGCAAAACAAAAAGCAAAGAGTGCCTGCAGTTACCATTTCTCTAGAATGAAAAAAAAAACAAAAACCCAAAATTAGACAAATAGATGTTCCTTAAACTTGCATTTTCATATAGAACTTTTAAGGCATTTAAATCATCAGGTAAATAAATTCAACTTACCTATGCAAAGAAAAGCAGATAGATAACTTTTATTGAACACTATTTTGTGTTGAAGAAATGAGGACAGACTTCTTGGTGGAGTTGATGTTGACTGTATGGAAATTGCAGGAAGGTGGAAGTCAGGCAGTCCAGGGTTAGCTGTGTGTAGGAGGTGCTGTGCATCCCTCTCTCTTGCTTTCATCATTTTCAGTGACAGGTCTCTTGATTAAGTCTAGCTTTTTGGTGCTAGAGTTACTCATTGGCTGACTATACCCATTTTAAGTGAATACTTTAATTTCTTTTTAAAGCCACCATTCTGTTCTTAATTCACTCTAGGTCATCAGATGCTGAATACCACTTACAAGTTAGTTCATTTACTTATGTAATTATGTATATAATTTAAGAATTTATTTAAATCCTCTTATAATTAAATGGGCAAAATGGTTTTGATATCACAAACTCTGTGGTTTTTTTATGTTATTTCTATTTTATTTTATTTTTTAGATTAGATGGATTTAATTGATATTTTACCCAAAGCACAATAATATACATATTTTTTAGTGCACATGGAACATTCTCTAGGGTATACTGCATGTTAGGACATAAAACAAGTCTTTTTTTTAAAAATAGGTTAACAAACATTTTAATTAATTAATTAATTAATTTTTTCAAATACATTTGTCTCCGCCTTCCCCTCACCACTTTCCCCTGCCCCCTTCTCCCTCCCTCAATCCTTCCCCGCTTTGGTTTTGTCCATGAGTCCTTGCTGTATGTTCCTTGACTTGCCCCTTCCCTTCCTTTTACCCTGCCCATGCCTCCCTCCTTTCCTATTGTCTCTGTTGTTTTCTTTTTTCTTTTAGTGTTGCTGGTCTTATTTTCCTTGCATCTTTGTTTTGTTGGATAGGTTCTGCTTACAGGTGAGATCATATGGTATTTGTCTTTCGCCCCCTGGCTTATTTCGCTTAGCATAATGCTCTCTCCATGCTGTCGTAAAGTGTAGTAGTTCTTTTTTTCTTTCTGCTGCATAGTATTCTATTGTGTAAATGTACCATAATTTTTTGATCCAATCATCTACTGATGGGCATTTAGGCTGCTTCCAGCACTTGGCTATTGTAAATTGTGCTACTATGAACATTGGGGTGCATAGGTTCTTTTGAATTGGCGTTTTGGGATTCTTAGGGTATAGTCCCAGCAGGGGAATCACTGGATCAAGAGGCAGTTCCATTTTCAGGTTTTTGAGGAAATTCCACACTGTTTTCTATAATGGCTGCACCAGTCTGCATTCCCACCAACAGTGTACTAGTGTTCCCTTTTCTCCACAGCCTTGCCAGCACCTGTTGTTTGTTGCTCTGTTTATGATGGCCATTCTGACCAGTGTGAGGTGGTATCTCATGGTGGTTTTGATCTGCATTTCTCTGATGGCTAGTGATGCCGAGCATCCTTTTGAATGTCTCTGGGCCCTCTGTATCTCCTCCTTGGAAAAGCGTCTGCCCAGGTCCTTTGCCCATTTTTTGATTGGGTCATTTGTCTTCTTGGAGTGGAATTGTGTGAGTTCTTCATGTATTTTGGAGATCAAACCTCTACCTGATGTATCATTAGCAAATATATTTTCCCATATGGTTGGATCCCTTTTCATTTTGCTGATGTTTTCTTTCGCCGTGCAGAAGCTTCTTATTTTTATGAGGTCCCACTTATTTATTCTTTCCTTTATGTCCCTTGCTTTAGGAGACATATCGGTGAAAAAATTGCTGCGTGGGATATCTGAGAGTTTCCTGCCAATGTTCTCCTCTAGGACTTTTATGGTGTTGCAACTTATATTTAAGTCTTTTATCCATCTTGAGTTTATTTTTGTGTATGGTGTCAGCTGATGATCAATTTCAATTTTTTGCATGTAGCTGTCCAGCTCTCCCAACAGCATTTGTTGAAGAGGCTATTATTACTCCACTTTGTGCTCCTGCCCCCTTTGTCAAATATTAGTTGCCCATATAGACCTAGGCTTATTTATGGGCTTTCTATTCTGTTCCACTGGTCTATGGGTCTGTTCTTGTGCCAGTATCAGTGCCACTACATATCTCTAAAAAGCGAAAAATACTGTTCTTTGGCAGTATCAGTTGAGAATGTTACACAAACAGACATATACACACACACCCCTACCTAACTATAGCTGCTATAACACACCCAAGGTTTTCATATATTTCACTTCTTATATGTCAGAGAGAATTTTAAAATATTACTGTATTCTCCTAGAATCCTACATCATCTCTACCTTGAGTTTCCTGGAGCATTTAAATTAATAAAACTTGCATATTCCAAAATGAAAGTCTATTTTTTCTCTCTTGTCCTAAATTTGTATCTTTACCAAAGAGTGGTCATTCTGCAAGATGCTTTTTACAGTCTCTAGCCTAGAAGATTCTTAGGCAGATATTGTTAGATTTAAAAAAAGAAGAAAACAATGAAACTAGGAACTCCCCCTCCAGTTTCACTAAGGCTTATATAGAACAACTAAATTGACTTCTGCTTCCAAAGCCTCGGGGAACACTTGGAAGTATAGCTATACTTTAAGAAAGGTG